CCCGCGGGCCGGCCGGCCGGACCGCGGATCGCGCGAGGTCCCGGCGGGGACCGCGCCGAGGACCACCACAAACCGGCGTCGGTGGCGCGGGTGGAGGCGACGCAGACTCACGCGTGCGCCAGCCGGACCTCTGCCTCCCCCGGACCGGGCCTCCACACTGCCGCGAGCCCGCACGGCGGGGACGGCTCGGCCGCGGCCCGCTCGCCGCGACGAACGAGACACCGGCGTGATGCCTCACACCAGCCAACGCAGTGCACACAATGTCTCCCCGAGACTCACGACCTTAACACAGCTGGTAATCTCGTGATGCCGCCACGGGACGGACGATCGCTGGCCCACCGCTGGTCCGTGAGGATTTGACAGGGTTCGCTACCCTTGCCCAGCCGTTAGTCCCGTGGGAATACCACGGGGTTCCACTACCTTGAACTGGCCGTTGCCTTTGGTAAGGAGAGAGAGAGAGGTAGTAATTACGAAGCGAAGTGATGTATTTATTGCTGTATTATTTATTGCGATCGTGTGCCCGGGACGAACGACGTTGAATGTGTGGTAATGGGTGGATGGTGACGTACCGTTGTGATGTTCAGGGCATACATATCCACTCACGGTGCTCCCCGTGGTCTCCAGCGACGCGAAAGGCGTGAGGAATCTGTTCTCCTGCGTAGAGTTTGTGTGGTCGTTAGTCAGGACAAACTCGATCGGCTGAGGCCTGAAACGCCCTGATAGCTCGATTGGTGGAGAGTGTGGAAGTCAGTGAGATCACACAGGTATTACTTGCTGCAGTATGCATGAAGCGGAGCAGGCACGGGGAGCGGAGTGAGGAGTAGCATGTCACGCGCGTTTCACTGTCGCCGCGCTTAGTTCCTCGGGGCCAAATGTGTTGTTATGCGTTAGTATGCTGGCATGGTCAGTGAACCGTGCACAGTGCGTTGTATTTGTTATCGTATTTTTCTATAAACGTGCTCTATTTGATCACAATAAATGGATGCGCATGTATCGATGTGGCAACTCAT